AGGGTTGCACATATCGATGTTGTCAATTGGCTAATAAATTATTACTTATTTTGAAGGTTTTTAACAAAAAATGATAGAGTAACGTAAATTCATCTACATATCCAAGTAACTTCATTGTGCAAATTCTACCTCTTTATAATCCAAAATTTTCAATATATTTTGTTTCCAGATGTTGCCATCTTTTGTCAGTGGAAATTGAGAAAATTTCCTATACATTTATAACTAAAATTAGTAACTAGCCGGAGAAGAACACGAACTAAGGTTAAAATCTGCCATGTTGTTTGATTTCTGTAACTAATAGAGTTATAGCTATAAATGGAGAAAAATCAATATACTTCACTTTTATACCACAAGACAATAACCATAATTTGATTGTTGGACCATTGTTTGAATTACTAAAACCACACACCTTGATTTAAAAGCCTGGTACATGATGGCAGAACTTGCACAAATGGTCCCAACTTCTGCCTCTCAGCCAGTAACTCAGCCAGATACCTGTGAGGATAACAATTAAACTAACTATGATCTCAGAAAGGCTTAAATATAAAACCAATGACAATCAGAATATTGCAGCAGTTAAATGCACAATATTTTTCAAAAGAATAGCACACTTCCAAATTTACTACATGAAAACAGATATAGTCTTCTCAATTGAGCGCTATGTGGCATGTGTACGGGTACGGGTATAGCACACGGAAAATTTGTAAAAGGTATGGTACAAGGACACGGCTATATAAAGATTTATATACGCATATATTCTATATTGGAATTAATAATTTATATGAGAACAAGGATGAGATTTAAATTTCCAATAATATTTTTATGTTTCTTTGAAAAAATCACTAGTTTTCGAACTAGACATCTAAACGACCCCTCAAAATCATAATTAGAATTATGAGCTGTCCGATGAGTTTCAAGAAGTGCATGTGAAGTATAGATATATGTCCAAAAAATGTATGACAAATATTTTAAATTAAAACATGTATTGTATGATTGAGTACGTGCCCGAATAAATGTATGCATATATGGAAGGAGTGTCCAAGGAGTTTGGGTACGGGTATAGGTACGTGTCGGGTATAGGCACAGCTTCATGTTAGTACCAAAGAAACATAGATTGAGAGAAATAAATCTTAGTTGACATGTATAAACCTGGGGAAGATCATGAGAATGTGTTAGGAGGTAGAAATATGAATATTTGTAAATTTCTACTGTTCACGGTTTAACATTAAGAATGAAGAAAACGAAAAAGGAAGCAACTACAGTAAGCCAAAGGACATTGGCTATTCACCAGGGACACAAACAATTGTAGTTAAATGACAAGCAGCCAGAAGCAAAATAATATCAGTTGGTGTTAAAGCAAGGATGGCAACTACATTAGTGATAATAAGGGGATAGGATTTAAAACTACGGAGTATGTTTTTTTTTTAAGAATAATCAGCATCTGAAGATTAAATTACAAGGATATAAACATCAGTCAAAGGGCTGATTGAACCGACATCAATAAACTCATGATTTTGATTGCATAACAAAGTACAAACAAAGCATAACAAGTCAATGACATGGCTAATAGAAGAGGAATTCTATTGATAGTCGCCTGCCAATTGACAGTCGTTGCTACGTGTCCCATTTTTTCCTATTAATAATGGGACCCGAGGTTAGTGGGGTTAATTATGTATCTACCACCTTCAATAATTGCATTTTGCACTCTGTTTGCAATTGTAAATTAGAGAAAATAAAATTGGATGGGTATTATGATGCTAAACACATAATACTTTGGGACCATTACTTTAAGAGATTTTCTCTTTTTGGCTAAACACATAAGTATGTTTAAATATTAAGGTGCGTATAAATATATGATGCTTGTGAATACGTGGGGACCTCACCCACGTGAGACCACGAGAAAAATCTCGTGAAGAGAGTTTGTGAGAGGCCCACCCGATTCAATAGGTAGGTATAAATAATAGAAAAAAATCCTAGGGCAGTGTGCAAGTAAGGAGGAATCAAAAGAGCGGCTGCGGAAGATTTTGTGTGCGGGGTTTTTTCTCTTGGCGACTGCAGCAAACACAGAGAACTAAAGCTACAGGGATTTTGGCGGCTGACTGAGAGAAGAAGAAGCAAAGTCTTTTTTGTAGTAGTTCTTTGTTTTGTGTATCCCTTTGAGAGAATATTTATAAGAGGGATTTGAGAGTTTGTTTGAGAGGGTTTAGATTGTGAGATTGTAAACCCTAGTTGTATCTCTCCCTCTAATAGTAGATCTCCCCCTCCTTGCCCCGTGGATGTAGGCTATTTGCCGAACCACGTAAAAGTTGTGTTTTTGTCGTGATTTGTAATAGCTTGTAGGATCCCTCGACAGGTCAGTCCTAGAACTGATGAGAGGAAGAGCCGATATCTCACTTGGTTGAGATATCCGCTTCAGATTCTTGTTTTCTTGGTGAGACGGGAATTCTTATCGATCTAATCTCTCTTGTTGTGCTGCCGAAGTGCTGCCGAAATTTCCGCTGCGCACAACAATGCTTAACACTAAAATACCTTTAAAATCCCTTTAACTTTGTTGAAAAGTGTATTTAATGTGTATTGAATTATGATGGTACACATATGTACCTTTAAAGTGTTTCTTGATTTTTTTCCCCCTCTTTAGCTTTACCTTAAATAATCACAATTGAAAAGTAAAGAAATTATAACATCGTCTAATCATAGCCTTTCATGGACCTTGTATTGATCTATTAGGATTGATTTGAAGGTTTCCCACCCATGGTAGTTAACCATGTTCTCCTTAACTAATCAAATACTAAAGTTGATTTTTCTGCAAGTAAAGCGCATCATAATATAATGGATTGAAATTTACTGCAATGAAAGGAGCAAAAGACATTTTGGTACTAATTGGTGATGTATCATGTTATCACATGAAACATCATTAAAATTTTGATAATCCCTCATCTCATTTCCATGAACCCAAACGATATTTACTCATCCCAATGTACAAAAAAAGAGAAATTAGGACCCTTTCCTTTTATTAGCATAAAAAAATTAATTATTGGATCAGCATCTCCTGATTGTAGTAATAATCATTTTTTTTCTCAACATGATTCCTTATGCCCTAACAACCAATATTATCATATACACAATGTTTTTTTATCATCGTAAATTTAGCACACAACCACATGTATAGCATGTAACGTGCTAATATCATGCTTTTGTGATAGCGTAATACCCCTACGACAAGGTAAATAATGAGCATACATGGAAGCTCATACTTGTGATTCTTCATGAATTCGTGGGCAATCCAATTTTCATATTTCATTCTTTTCACATGCAACATTACTCTACATCTTATTTTAAAATAAGGATGAGGATGAAAGGCATCCAAGTCTTGCTTCTCTCAGTAACTTGTATAAGCATATTTACATCAATAAACTCATTTGTTTTTGTTTTTGTTTTTGTTTTTTTTTTTTTTTTGCTTTGCTTTTTTTTTTGAATGACAAGATGCTTTGAGTGACTATGGAATATGATGAACATAAACATGGTAACCCACACTCATTTGGGTGACAAGATGTTTTTTTTTGTTTTATTTAGTGATTGTTGATTGATACTTGCTTGCACATGTTCCATTTTCTCCCATTTGAAATAAAAACAGGCATCACATGTGACAAAGATATTTTTACCCTTTTGCCATTATGTTTTCTAAAGCTAGATATTAATGTTTTTTTTTCTTTTTCCTCATGCAACTGGTGCAAAAATGTTTCCCCCCTCAATCTCAAATATTCCCTCCCTTTTTCCAATCTTATTATTAGTTTTTCATTTGCAAATTTTATTTTCTCTTTTAAGTATTGAGTTTTCTTTGATCTTAATCGGTGCTACATCACCAAGTAAAACTTTAATTTGAAGACAACTAATGAATTCATATCTAAAGTATGTGTTTATATTTCTCTCTTTCATATTTTTTATATTTCTTAATAATCAGATTATTTTTCGAATAAGTGTCTATCGAACATCTAAATAAATTACTTTTATTCAATTATACATGTTATGTGTGTAATGGAGGATCTTGATTTAAATCTATATATAGATGCATATATTAATTCCTTTGGGAGTGATCAAACCATGATTCATGATGATGGTAATGGAAAGAGATGGAAGATGGGGTAGAGATTATAGACATATTTCAGATGAGTGCATGAGCACTGTAAGTAGTAGAACCATACAAAGGTTAAAATTTTAAAACACAAGAGGAGGTTTATTCTTATTATAAAAAGTATGCAAAAATTTATAAATTTGTTGTTTCAAGCAAAGAATTTTTTTGTTCAAATCAAACAAATGAGCTACTGATATTAAATATGCTTGTACAAGGCATGGAGAGAAGCAAAATTAGATGTCATTCATCCTTGTCCTCATTGCATGTGAAAAGAATGGAATATAGGAAGTGGATTGTCCACGAGTTTATCAAGGATCACAATCATGAGCTTTCTCCAATATGCTCATTATTTTCCTAGTCATAGAGTATTAAATCACCACAAACACATGATAGTAGAAGATTACATGATGTGCATGTCGGAGTGGACAAATTTATGCAGCAATAGCGAAAGCAACACAGTGGATAAAAAAATACTTGTTTCGAGGACATTGGAAATTATGTAGAGAAAAGAAGTGATTCCACAATCAGAAGATGCAAATGCAAAAATTAAACTTTTTATGCAAATAAAAGGAAAAGATCCTAATTTCTTTTTTGATGTAAACTGAGATTAGTATCATCTATGATACTTTTTTAAGTTCTAAATGAAATGAGGAATTATCAAATTATTAATAATGTTGTTTCATTTCATCTAATATATAGCACTAATCCGTACCAAATGCCCTCACTCCTTTAATGGGAGTGAATAGTTATTTTCAAACGATTATATTCATTATTTTACTAAAGCCGATATATTGGCCAATATATCATCTTATAAGGCTTGCTGCTAAAATATGGTCTCAATATCCTATATCGCTTTTTTGGTAAATTTTGGGCAATAGATCCCCAGTATGGCCGATATATCAACTAAGATGTTGTCCAATATGTCATTCTTAATGGTTTGTGCTAAAATAATATAGTTTTTTCGCAAAATTTTTGTAATGCTTTTATGAAAATTTCAACCCTATACAACTTTTTAATAAATTCTATTAGGCTCTTGCCCTAAGTAAGTTTATACAATTGGTTAGTGATCCTAAATATACCTAAACATGTTTATATTTTTTAATGTTTAAATTTCATTAAGCATCTCTAGATTATATTGTTAGGCATTATATTATATATGCACATCATCTGACTCCATATTTCGGATATTTCTTGGATATCTGTATACTAATGTGGATTTTGACCATCTGATATTTCATCGATATGTGATATTTAAAACTTTGATTATCTTAGGATGTTCTCTACTTGCAGATTAATCAACTTCAACATTTATTTAGTTACTTAGAACTTGATTAACTGAGCTGGGTAGAAAGCCTCCAAATGA